GAAGGCCCTGTGCGTGCTTGTCCCCGCGCCAACCCCCCCGCGCTGGGAAGCCCCACGCAAACGCCTGCTCCGAGGCCAACCCCCCCGCACGCGCGCTAGGAAACTCCCTGCGCCCCTCCCGCGGGGCTGACTCACCCCTCCTGTGTGGTGCAGGGGGCCAGCAGAGCAGCTAGCGCACTTCTGGAATTGCTGGAAGTGGCGCTAAGCTGCGGGACTTGTCCATCCCCGGGAAGCCGACACTACCTCTATTTTCACTTGAGGTAGGTAGTGGGGCTTCTCGGGGGTGGGAGGGAAATGGGGGCAGGGCAGACAGGATGCCTCGCGATCGACCAGTAGATCGTGATCAACCTGTTGGTGACCATGGCCCTATAGGGAGTGAACACAACAGATAATCGTCACGTGATCCTTCTCCTGTCATCCATTTCCAGACTAACAGAAGCGAGGGACACCATTCCTACCAGTCCTGGCTAATAGCCTTATATGGACCTAACCTCAATGAATCTAGCTCTTTTTTTAACCTTGTTAAAGTCCTAGTCTTCACAAGATCCTCTGGCAAGGAGTTCCACTGGTTGTGCACTTAGAGAAGAAAAATTTCTTATTTGTTTTAAACCTGCTATTAATTTCATTTGGTGACTCCTAGTTCTTCTGTTGTGAGAATAAGTAAATAACTTTTTCTTATTCACTTTTTCCATACAAGTCATGATTTTATAGACCTCTATCATATCCCCCTTTAGTCTCCTGTTTTCTAAGCTGAAAACTTTAAGTCTTTTTAATATCTCTTCATATGAGATCTGTTCCAAACCCCTAATCATTTTTGTTGCCCCTTTTCTGTACCTTTTCCAATGCCAATATGTCTTTTTTTGAGATGAGGCAACCACATCTGTACTCGGTATTCAAGATGTGGGCATACCATAGTTTTATATAGAGGCAATACAATATTCTTTGTCTTATTCTCTATCCCTTTTTTAATGATTCCTAACATTGTTTGGTTTTTTGACTGCTGCTACACACTGAGTGGATGTTTTCAGAGTTCCACAATGACTCCAAGATCTCTCTCTTGAGCAGTTATAGTTAAATTAGCCCCCATCATATTGTATGTATAATTGGGATTATTTTTTTCCAATGTACATTACTTTACATTGATCAACATTACATTTCATTTGCCATTTTGTTGCCCAATCACTTAGGTTGGTGAGATCTTTTTGAAGCTCTTCAGCGTCTACTTTGGTCTTACCTATCTTGCATAGTTTGGTATCATCTACAAATTTTGCCACCTCACTATTTACTCCTTTCTCTAGATCATTTATAATTAAGTTGAATGGGATTGGTCTCAGGGCAGACCTTGGGAGTTACCTCTCTCCACTCTGACAATTGACCATTTATTTCTACTATTTGTTTCCTGTCTTTTAACCAGTAATCAAGTCAGAAAAGACCTTCCCTCTTATCCCATGACAACTTACTTTAGTTGATTTTCCAGCTGATGCCTTTTTCAGTGACCAAAACTATGAGGCTTTGAAGGTAGAGTGGAAAAATGCTATAGTTCTTCCCACCAAAAGCTACAAATTGAAAAATCCTTCTGCAACCCTCAGGCCAACCATTTACACCCTGAAAGAGAAGACTTAAATATCCTACCTTTTTTTCCCCCCTGCTTCATTGCAAATGAGAGAACATGAAAGCAGCTAGACTGGATAGGGCCAAAGGTCCAGCTAGCCCAATATCCTGTCTTCAGGTGCTGCACAGGGAATGAACAGAACAGATAATCAAGTGGTCCAACCCTTGTCACCCATTGCCAGCTTCTGACAAACAGAGGCTAGGGGCACCATCTCTGCCCATCGTGACTAATAGCCATTGATGCACCTATCTTTCATGAAATAATCTAGTTCTTTCTTGTACTCTGTCATAGTTTTGGCTTTCACAAAGTCCTCTGGCAAGGAGTTCCACGGCTGACTGTGTGTTGTGTGAAGAAATACTTCCTTTTGCTTGTTTTACATCTGCTGCCTATTGATTTCATTTGGTGATCCCTAGTTATTGTGTTTTGAGAAGGAATAACACAAGAACTTCCATATTTACTTTCTCGCCACTGGACATGATTTTATAGACCTC